AAAGAACTGGGCCAACGTTGAAATGCCAAAGTTGAAGACGATTTCGCGTAGTGTCAGTTACGATCATCTTGCACATCGATATTTTTTCATTGGCCATCGCGCCACGTACAACACAAGTATGCCGCATGGCCACCGCAGAAAGTGCCAACGCATTTTTTAGGGGGTGTTTTAGTCGTTAAGTCTGTAGCGAACGCCTGTTCAGAGAACGAGGAAACGGCACCGCTGTGGCGTTTAATTTGCTTTATGAGTAAACCCGACCGTTTGACTATACAACGGAGCATAATTCTCTCCAATGATTTTGATAATGAATGAGGAACGATATATATATATTTATATTTGTCCACGATTTTCGTTGTTAATTGATTTAGATTGTTGATGAATCTTGGCGAAGCGGAGATTAATAATATTGTTGATCGAGAGAGAGAGAAGATAAACGAAAAATGAATAAATAAAAACGAAAGGATTGACGAAGACGTGTGTGTGTGTGTCATTCGTTTCTACATTACGGCCGATTGATACGGCGTTTATGCGGTCTTCGTCGTCGTTGTTACTGTTTTTTATAGTTTTTAACGAGGCCAATCCAACTATCAGTTGTTATTAGCATATTATTGCATATTATCATTCTGTGCACGTATTGTAAGAAACACTATAAATTCTAACTTAGTATACATACATAGATAGATAGATATATATACATCAACATACATATTTTTACTTATATAATTCACACCTACCACTGTAATAATGTATAATTTTATTACTTTACTACTATATCGCCTCTGTATTTTTATTATCGTAACGTTCATGGTTATTACTATTAATCCTGTCTCTACATTACAGTGTTGGTATAGATCACGAGAAAAAGGAGAGTTACAAGTGAATAAATAAATAGTCTTTCTAATATTTCACTTTGCTTACTTTGTATAGCACTCGAGGCGTTTAGAGTGAAAATAAGCTAGTTCTAATACTCGAGGAACCAAGTACATCCGCTTTACGTATAATTATTTATGTTAGACTATATTTATTTGCTCTCAATACCTCATCAAGTCGTTCGTTTAGCTTCATTAATCTTTCTTGTACAAAAGAGAACTTGTTAGATTATTCACACCGGTGATGGTGAACATTTCAATTCTTTCGGCGAGTATTTTCTGAAAATTATTAACAAGTCGCCGTGAAAGAACGTATAATACAGTGCAAAGGTAGCACCGGAAGGACGAGTGAATTAACGCGCGATTAACTTCACACGTTTGTATCGCAGGTCGGAAATAAAGCAAATTTCGTCTCGTGGCCAATTAGAGGAGTCAGTAATTGCAGGAACTGGCCAACCTGTTTAGAATGACAGGTGCGACACCGTTGTGAAGCGATACATGGGCTTGGTAAATGCCGTTTGTAACTGGCCCTCCGTGAAAGCACTTTACTTCACTGTTTTCTCCATGAATCTGGCCGGAATTCTGGCCCTCGTTCTGGCCATTGTCTGGGCCGTACGATTCGAAAGAGGCTTCGGCGATTACCTGAATCTCATCACTCCAGGTCAGCACGAATCACCATCATCATCCAACTAAGACAGGGATAACGATCGTCGCCCGTAAAGGAAACTAATCTCTTGATCCCTTTCGTTCCTCCCAGTCCCGAGAAATGTCTTTCTACGTACAAGACGTTTTGTTTAACAGAATTTTTCTCTCTTAAGCTTAATCAATCGCTTTGTCCATCGGATCGCATTGACGATCGTACAAATGATTTATAGAATTTATCTGGACCCTTGTTGTTGACAAAGAAATTCACGCGATAGGAGTTTCACCGTACACTGAAATGTACCGAGTCGCAATCAGTGATTATTAGATTGCATTTAGAATGCAGGCGGTATATAATTACAGAACGAGAGTGAAATTGCACTACGTTGAAAAAGATCTTACAGCGGCGAATGACTCCAGTGACTTTGAAATATCGATTCTGACCTCGCTTCAAATTTTCACGTCGCCATACATGTAGGATATATGCTACGCGAAAATCCCATTTCTCGTACGACGAATTCTTTCTTTTCGAATGTATGTGTGTGTGTGTGTGTGTGTGTGTGTGTGTGTGTGTGTGTGGGTTAACACGTTCCATGCCAAGCCATTTTTGCCTTTTGTTGTCGTTCAGGCCATTTGATATTTCGACTAAAAGTTGATATATTATCATACAATCTTTCATTACATCAATCAATCGATAGTTCTCTTGTTTAGAGTAGTTATCACATCGTGTACCACTTGTGGTAATATTATTAGAAATATGGCCTGAAGATCAAGTTTAACGTGTACCACCGGTGGTACACATGGCACAGAACGTATGTTAACAAGCAGGATCACGACGAGCAGGTGACGGTCACGTGTGGACGGCGATCATAGTCTCGGCCAGCGTTTGCTGTTCCCCTGCCTACATCCTCGGCGTCAAGTGTTGGCTTTATTTGAAACTCGAGCCAGCCAGGACGGATGATTCGGAGGATCAAGAGAAAGCGGACGATCCTCACGACGTGAATCGGCTTTTGTTCTTCCACGTGGTTGCCTGTCTGCTGTCAGGATTCTTGGTAGCTATCCTAAATGCCACTTACTTGGCCCTGTTGAGCGGATTTCAGCAGAAAAGCCGCGATGGCTTGATAGAGGCTATCGAAAAGTACGGGGTCGACGTGGCCGTGAAGGCGAGGGTGGACGCTCTCCAAAGCGAGCTCGAGTGTTGCGGCGATGGTAGCTACGAAGATTGGACTCGAGTCCCCTGGTTGAAAATGTCGTTGGAGGAGGAACAACCCGAGGATGTGGGAAACGGTCCTCGACTGGAAGGGCAGTGGGTATAATCGAACCAATTACCATTCGTTATTATTATTATTATTATTATTATTATTATTATTATTATTATTATTAT